AGGAAAACCATATAGAAATTGTATTATTGTAATAACAGATAAACATTACAAATATGTTATGCCTAAATTTTACAGACAAAAAATAAGCTCAATAAGAAAAAAAAACAATACATTGCAATAACAATTTAAATTCCCTCCCTCGAGTTAATTTGGCCAAGTGCTGCAAGTAGGCCTACCCTAAATTACTGATAGACTTCTGTATTCCTTTGAAGTTGAGTTTGTTACCGTGTGTATAATCTAAGCTTCCCAAGATCCATTATCAACCTTAACATTGAAATCACCACAGCTATTATAAATAAAATGTACTTGTGACATGCTGGGGACTAAATCATAACAATGGTTTTTTTTCTAGATGATGAAGATTGTCCTGAATGTGATGAGATTCTGGAAGAACTGGAAATGATTGATGATGAGGCAGATCTGTATGGTGAGTTGATTTTGTTTTAAATTTGAATAAGTACTAGGGCAATCACGGCACTGGCTGAATACCACGTTAGAGTATTTGCCAACAAGTCGTCATTTCCACTTGTGAAAGATTTATTCCAAAGAAAGTACTCAAATTAATATAAAGGAAAATTTATCACTCATTATACTGATAGTTTACTGCTTGGTATTGGGTAAAAAAAACAATTAAGGTTAAAATTGTACAAACATATTATCTGCATCCTTTGATTCAACTAATTGATAAGGACTTATCCACTACAAAACTCCTATTAGAATACCTTGAAATTCACTTAAAATTAAAAAAAATTTCTTAGTAGACACTCCCTTTACACATGGGGTAGTAATGCACATCCCTCATCCTTACTGGTTATCACCCCTCCGCACCCTTTACTTGAACCTAGTTATCCCCACAGGTATGGAAAATATTGGTGTTTTAAGTTGGACATGACAATCTGTCATTGTATATTGTATACAATTTATTTATTGACAATGTTTTCCCTCCAGGTATTGACATGGTGAAAATCTCAGATCCAGAAGCATCTGCTAGATACAATATCATCCACACGCCTTCACTGATCTACTTCCGCAAGAGAGTTCCTCTAGCTTATGATGGTAATTTGTTTTAAACATTGAAACTATTGATTTTAAACACTTAATTAAATACTTTACTGAAGATGAGTATTTAAATTTGCTGCATTTATGATCATGAACTGTTGAAATGTAAACTGTTCAAATAATGACTATTATTTTTTCCCACCATAAATTCAGAATTAAAATGTTTTTTGTTCAAATGAATTGTTTAGCTTATATTATGTTTACGAGGGTGTAACTGTAAAAAAAGGACCATGTGGTCCTATTTTTCAATTCAATAAAATAGTATATTACGTTACTAGTCTAGAAAATAGGTGGTTACCGGACAAGTGTGGTTGTTCCTTTTTATTTCCTGTCCGTATGGGATAATCATGCAAGTACAGTAACATTTTGTGACGTACAGTAATTTTTGCCATTACTAATCCTAAACTAACCTAACAATAAAACAACTGTCAAAACCGTTAAAATGTTCCCACTGATGGGCCTAACAATCACTTTACTCATAACTTATCTGAGAGATTATGTTATGGTTTGAAATCACTCACTGCCATTAGAATATTAGAAATAAGTTTAATGTGTAAAGTTGTATGGGCTAAACATGATTTGTAAGTTTAATACCATTAATGTAAACAAGTGTGTTTAGGCCTATCAATGTCAATTAAATGTTTACTTTGTCTTTCCGTAATTAAATGTTTGTATTCGTTTATTTATTGTGTGCGTGTGACATCGATGTCTTCATTTTTGTAACCCTGACGATGCCGTATTTACGGCAAAACATGTAGGTTGTTAACCTCAATCAACATTTGGATTACTTGACGAGGTATTGTGCCATTATTATAGTCAAGTGTGTTGTTTAAGATTAAGTTTTTTTTATAGGAATTTTGACCCTATTATACAATCAATTCTGTGCAACAATATAATAACTTCTTATTTCATTTGTAAAGTTTGTTATGTTGATAATTATTTATGTTTATGAAATATCTGAGGTGTTGCCTCAGTTGCGCGTGTGACGTCACCCGCCGACCATTGTGGTTTTGCTCTCAATTCACACAGCTGCCATCTGTCAAATTCTTTGTTATTGTTGTTTGTTTTTCATTTATTTATTTTCACAGAACTTACAAAAAAACAAACGACAATAACAAAGAATTTGACAGGTGGCAGCTGTGTGAATTAAAAACAGCACCGGCCGGGTCGGCGGGTGACATCATACACGCCTTGTTATGTACCGTCATAGCCACCTCTAATACAAGGCTGCGGCGAGACACAAGTGGCAACACCGCAGTTTGCCATTCTGAAACAGCTGTTGCACTAATTTATAATGGAACGTATGAGCAATGTTTAATAGCCATCCTGGTGCGACGTTGCCACACATCAACACCGCGGCCTTTAATTACAGGTGGCAATGTTATGAGTAATGTTCATGTTTACTAGTTTGTTATTCCTGTGAATATGAATGATTCAAATGAATATGACTAAATCCATGCGTGGAATATCCATTCAACCAGTGTAGTGTGTGGATCTCATTCATTCATTCAATTCATACTAGCAGCAAATCCCGGCTTTGCCGGGTAAAAATATACAATGTATAGTTAGTGGTTATAAAATTAATCTTTTCTGTTTTCATAGATGTACACATACCTTGGTACTATTAAATCTAGAAATATGTTAAAAATATATTCTTTGTAGCACACATTTCCTTAAATTGCAACTAAAATATTAACACAAATTAAATTACCCGGCTGATCATAATGTAAACAAATATGTTCTTCATAAGGATAACATGGGAACTTTAAAAGCCACTGGGGCAGAGCCAAAGGGATTTTTTCAAAAATCTAAGGTCATTCTGCAAATCTACACGTATAGACGAACATTTTTTATATAATATGTGGGGTTAAATTTTAGAACAAAAAAGCCTTATTGTTTACGGTACCTACCAAGTTTCATGTAGTGTATCAGTAATTTTTATATAGATATAGATTGATTACCATTTATGTGAAATGGTGTAAATAATTTTTTTTTATAGAATCTACAAGCAATATTCTAGATTTAGTTATATCACTCCCTGTAACCACTATCTTATGTTAGTGGACAAAGAATTGCATAGAAAAAGGTTGCGTGACATAATTTGAGTTTTTATTACTTTAATGGTGGTGATTGATTAAGCCGTTTGTTAATATTTTTGTTGAATTATTTATTCATTCATGGTTCTGCTTTATGATAAGGGTTCTACAAAACGAACCATTTTTGCCAGATGAAACCAGGTTTTTCATAGTTTGTCCTTTTAGAAATTGTATCTAAAATTGTTTCCACAATTTCACAAGAGGGTCAAAAGCAACCAGATTTCGAATTTTTTGTTTTACATTTACAATTTTTATTATTTTGCTCCTAGGATTTATGCTTACAATGAAGGAACCTGTAATTATTCCAATTCATAGAAAACAATGCTGGAAAAGATGTCAGTAGTTTTGTCTAACGTTGAGATTGATCGATAATCTTCTTAATTGACATACATTTTAATACTTATACATTACCTAAAGTATTTTAGTTTTGTGATAGATTATTTCTTTGGTGTTAATCTCTATTATTTAATTTTAGGTGATTTACTGGACGAAGAAAAGCTTTTAGCCTGGTTGACATCACAGGAGATATTTGAACTAAAAAATGAAATTGAAGAAGTTAATAGAAAAATGCTTGATAAGCTGCTAGATGAGAATGAGTTCCTGGCAGTTTACTTCTGTAAGTTATTCAATATTATTGTTTTTTTTGTTTAATTTTATATTTTATATACAGCTATTTCAGTTTCAATATGTGTGTTTTTGCACCTTTAGAAATTAGTAAAAGCGTAGTGATTGTATATTATCTAGCTTAGTCAATTTCATATAGTTCAATAGTATGTGTAGTCTGGTCAAATCCAGGAATTTTGAATCTTGAATCCTAAAAAAGCCTAACCTCGAATCTTCGAATCTCGAGTCCCAAAAATAGTTACAAGTGGATGGGCTTATAGTAATTAAAAAGCAAGAATGGAATAGGAACAATTTTACATTTTTAACCAGTTAACCACCACGACGACAATAACCTCTATGGTTAGTTAATGTCACAGTACTGTACAGTAGAACCCCGGTTAACCGAAATAAAGGGGGAAGAGCCATTTCGAAAAAACCAATTTTTCGGTTAACCCGTCAAATGCTAAAATAACCAATATATAACCACGGTGTGTAGGAAAAATGAATTTAAAACAATGTCTATATAATACAGTGTTTTATTTCAGCTACAAAAATGTTCTAATGGGTCAGAACATAGTCAAAACTATAGAGAAAATGGCCTCTCTGTTTACATATTACTTATTGTACTTATATTTTAGCCCTGTATTAATTTATAGAACCGTTTCGGATAACCCGGGTTTCGGTTAACCCGGTTTTGGTTAACTGGGGTTCTACTGTATATTACAACCTCAATAACCTCTATGGTTAGTTAATGTCACAGTACTGTATATTACGACCTCAATAACCTCTATGGTTAGGCAATGTCACAGTATATGACTTATAATTCTATTAGTGTTGCTAGCCACACAAGGAAGCGTATGCTCATTTGAACTTTTCCACCACCATCACTTTGTTATCTTGTATAGTTACATAAAAAACTGCTGTTACATTGAATTAATTGGGTATTATCTAGCTTAGTCAATTTCAAATAGTTCAATAGTATGTGTAGATTTTTTTAGTGTGGCTAGCAGGAAGCGCATGCACATTTGAACTCTTCTGCCACCACCATCACTTTTGTTATCTTGTACAGTCAACTAAAAAAATTGCTGTTACATTTAATTATTTACGTCACTAATTCTATAAATAAGGTTGATGGAATTACAATCCCATTTATTTAATACACTCATTTTCTGCAAGATGGAACCATGTCACATCACTATCATGGTAGACTGATTAGGCTGATGTTTTCAAACACATAGCAGAATGCAGTTGGCCATTTACAGAGCAGTAATGGGATTGGTTACTGACCAACTGCAATGAGACCGAAAAGGCAGTCTACTATAATAGTGATGTGACATAGTTCTACTCTAAAGACCATAACAGTGCTATTTAATGTCAATAACACATTAAACTGTGGTCCAGATGAAGTTGACAATGATGAGAGTATGGATGTGTTGGAACGGTTGGAGAAGATCGACAGTGAGACAGACAACATGGATGTGACGATAGTCAAGATGGGCGACCCTCGCTATGCCCGCAAGTGGGGCGTCACCAAACTTCCCTCGGTCGTCTATTTCCGCAACCGATTCCCCAGCATCTACAGAGGTACTGTAACGCCTCTACCACAATCAATGGATATTTAGGTCACCTCAATTAAAATATATTTATTTAAAAAGACTCTTGTGAGTACAAAAGAAGTGCCTGGTACATTGGTTAGCTTGTAGGACTTCAGGCTAGGGGTCCGGGTTCCATAAATCCAATTATCAATGGCTTGTAGTGGTGTTGTAATACAATGGTTTGGAGCCCTCTTAATATTTTGGTCCATAAATCCAGAAGACCAAAATGGTAATTCCTTTAGGTAATTAAGGAGAACTTCAGAAATCTCCCTCCACACAAAGCCATTTGTTTTAAAATCAGTATAACAGGTTTAACTATATAAGTCAGTTACTCAAAAAGATTAGAAGTTGTCTGACTTAAGTATTCTCTTTGCATGTTAAACATTTTCAATTTTTAAGATTTTATAAAACAATTTTCAACATTTCCTTTATGCATACTCAGTTGTTCATTGAGTAAAGAGAAAACAACGAGGCCTACATTACAGTTTAGCACTTGCGCTTGCTGATGGTCACTTAATCCTCAATCTCAAAGATATGACCAATTTTTGGTATTTTCTTTTACTTACTTTCAGTTCTAACTCCTTAGACAATCGCTCTTATTTTATTACAACTTTGTCTCTGTACAGCAAAAAACAAAAAACAAAACTGTAAACCAATATGCAACATTTAGGAATTTTTGTAGACAAAACTATTAACCTTAAAAGCGTAAATATATTTTTTAGGTTTTGGATTGCAGTTCCACCGTGTCCCTTCCCAAATTGAGCCATAGACACTCTGAACTCTGAAATTACACTATTCATTTTCCAACAACGTTTACTATTTTTCAGGTGGGTTTGAGAACGAGCTGGATGTGCTAGAGTGGTTGCGCAAGAATCGCTACAGACAACCTGAGCTGAATCTCTTCATGTACGCTTTGATCGCCATTACTCTCGCCTTCGTCATGTACACCGTCTTCCTCATCTACGGCTTCCAACAGCCGCCAAAGGTCGCGTGAGCTCAACTCGGCTCCTCACGGAGCTAACTTCCAACTGTTTGAATCTCATCGCAGTCGTGTTGCGATTGTTATCGGAAACATAGTTTTTAAAATAAATTTTCCATTTTTGAAAGCAAAATTGACAAGTGAATTACTAAATTGACTTGGTGTTCTTAAAATTTGATGAAACTTTTTAACAAGTTAAACAGTGTTTTGGTTGGAGTTTTAACGACATTTTTCACACCGATCGGTGACACGTGTTAGCGTTGTTTACATTTCATTGCCGAGGGCCCGTGACATAGTCACAACCTGTTCCAGCCCTGGGACCAATTACGGAGAAGAGGCCTTGATCACGTTAGATGTAATTAGGTATATTTGCCGGTGAAACTACTTTCCTTATTTTTGTAAAATAAGGGAATCGTAAGTTTGAACGTGTAAACTCCCCGTTAATAGTTGTTGATTCCTATTGTTTTGTAAATAATACGATATTGTTTTTTAATATTAAGTTGTTTATTTGTCTTAAGCCATGCGTTGTTTAATGTATAGTTTGAAGTGGGATGTTATATACTGTTTGTGCCTTTAGTGGTGTAAATCTAGTCCTCATTCAAGAAACATTAGTTAAGTTCCAAGTTTTTGTTGGTTACCAAATTAATCAGCCATTTATCATGAATTAATCTTTATTTCTATTTAGTTAGAGGTTTTTATCCGTCTGTTTTATCAACCAGGTAAAAAGATTCTAATTGAGCACTTTACTAATTAATTTTATACATTAACATGTTGAACATGTCTTCTTTTCCATGCAATGGCCTTCATAAACCCCGTTCAAATTCAATGACAATTATTATATCTCACATTTCATTACCGGTAACTTATTAATTTACTCACACTACACACCAACCTCCAGGAAAGTTTATTGTGCTTGTATTCAATTGTAACAGTGATAAAAGCAAACAAAATCTCTTAGTAAAATTAGCTTTTTCCATTGTTAAATTAACACACCGTGATGCAACCACCCCAACCACAAACTAATTTAGCATTGACTGATATCATTGCACAAAGAAGCACAACTTTAAATTTGTTATAAAAGTTGTTTTGTTCCACTATCGTTTTTCATAACTAAGTTACTAAATTTAAAAAACAATCTTCTTATGCATTTAATTTTATTCAACAACTGTCTAGTTTTAAAATACACCTCCGTGGTTGAACCATTGGCTGTATGTACTCTTTTTGAATAGATTACAATCATCCAATTAAAAGATATAAACCCAAACCCACTTTACGACAAAAATAAAAGACTGAACAAAATGGCTATTAAATTACAATTAACAAAAATGAGCAACATTTTCAATGATTATTTATTATTTAAACAATTATTTTGTTATAAATATGCCCCCTGTTTCAAGATTGAATCCCCTAACTCAATTGTCAGTCTCATCTCAAGGTTTATCTACAGTCAATGGGTTAATTTTTCCAAAGCGTTTTATAAGTTTGTGGCCTTAAACTTTGCTACTCGTTGTAGTTTTTTTTTTTCACAATCTGTAAATATTAGTGTAATTCTGTGTACAAATGAACAGAACATTTGTAAATAAAATGTATAAATAAACGTCTGTTTATTTAATGGTTTGCTTGGTTTTAATATTAAAAGAACCTACCCGAATTGATTCATTGTGCCTGTGGCCTGTGCAGTGCAGGGTTGCCACCTTACGTTAGGGAAAAATAGGGACATTGCCTCCCTCCCCCCCGGATTAACATAGGATCATATTACGGGCATAGGGAACCAAAATCGGGACTGTCCCGGCAGAATCGGGACCGGTGGCAACCCTGGTGTGCAGTGGCACTTCTAGGACCTTGTCAAGAGGGTGGGGGGCTAACAGGGGTGCTCCACACAAAAAGGAGCGTCTCTCCCCCAGAAAATTTGCTATTTTGAAAGCTTAAGCCATTTGGCGACTTTTTAAAGCCATTTTAATGTCTAGAACTGTGTCCAAAAACCTCACGTTTTTAATACAAAATGTACATAGTTAAATTTATATTTTAGGGTCCAATGGGGTGGGGGGTGGGGCTTAAGCCCCTATAGCCCTCTTGGAACCGCCACTGTGCCTGTGTACTATCCTTGCAAAAACAGATGGTATTATTTTTACATTGTTTTTTTGATTTTATATAAGCGCTCCACTAGAAGCGTAGCTCAATATGTTACATTTCAACTTATTTTAAACCACCATTTTACTTGTAAATTTACAAGATAAAGGATCAAGATGCCAGGTGTTACCAATATGTGAAACCTATGAATTGTAAAAGTTTTGTTAATGTTCGTGTTTCTATCATAAGGTGAAAATATAGGTTTTTATTGTTTATCAAGAGTAGTAGGTAGATTATGAAATCTCACTTTGTGGTAAGAAATTATAGTGTTTGCAATATCTGTACAACATCCGTATAGTTTGACCAGGTAGCAAGAGGATTGTAGTTCTTATTGTAAAATATATTTTGATAATGGTTAAATTCTTTCCCCCCTCAAATTCTATAATTTTTCTGCTAAAGCCGCAGGGCACACTCAACCTAAAAACCAATTTTTAAAATTTCAAACACTGTTAATGACTAATTTCATATATATGTATGACCATTGATTAATCTTTATGTTTCTGTTTTAATATTGTTAAAATGAGTAAATAAATAGTGATGGAAATGTTGTACTGAAATTGACTATTCTTATTTTGACTTTGATAATAATTGACAATTTAATAAACACAGCTGCAGACTTAAAATAAACTTATAGTAGTAATATTTTTGGGGAACTTGGAATAAAGTTTGTTAACCATAGAAACAAAGTTGATATAAATAACCCAACATTTTTGGATCCAGTTAACAAGTAAATTTAAGTCATGGCTGATGCAAGTGTAACTGCTTTGCCCGAATATCCACAAGGGGTGGATAGGCTCTCTGATGTAAACCTGTCAGATACTCCAATAACTAATGCAGTTAGCAGTGAAAGTTCCGTCTCTTGTAGAATATGCTTCAAGTTCAACGCAGGAACTGATTTAATATCTTCTCCATGTCACTGTAAAGGTATTTTATTGATGTAAATTACAAATAAAGTCCCTTAGTTGCCATTAGCTGTATAGGCTACTAATTAACAGCTGTGTCTAAGGAATATGTCGGTCTTAGTCACTAACAAGACTAAAAGATCGCGTCACTCATCCTACACTCATCTCCATTCATACTTTGCTTAAAATACCTATTTCATTGAAAAGTATTAAAGTGCCATGTAGTTACATCGCACACCGCTGCAGGCGAGGAGCACAGGAGCCGTATGCTACCAGCAGACGCTGCAGCGGCGTGCGCCGTAACTACACGGCACTCCTAGCTGTGGGTGCCGGAACATATGCTAACTACAGCACTGCCGCCAGTCTATATTTATTCTATTTGTCTATGAGGAAAAAAAATGAGGAAAATAATTGTGAACTGTTTTATACAGGGTGAGTTTTTAATGAGTCCCCCCCCCCCTACTTTTTTATACATTTCTTAAGATATCAACTCGGAATCACATCAGATCATTGTAGAGTAGCAAGTACTTCATTTTGACTGGGTTTAAATTTTTGGCCGCCATCTTGGATTCGCCATATTTGATACAAAGTTATTTTTTCAAACGTAAAGGTAGGGTTGTGACCCACCGTCTCATACAAGACTTTTACGCTGAATACGAAAAACGATGCTGCAATCCGTTTAAAAAAATGTTGATCCATTCTAAAGTAATGAGAACTTTATATAACTTTATTTTTAGTCCATTTTAACATTGTGCATTTACAAACTAAGGCCATAATCTCAAAATAGTGCTAGATAAAGATAAGTGGACACCACCATTCATTGTTGACCTATTTTCACTCGGTTATGACGGATGTATTTTTTCAGCCGCCATCTTGGATCCGCCATTTTGAAATGTGATAAACTATTTTATCCATTTTTGTTATCAAGCTTTCTTGATAAAATATTACAATTATTTTTATTTAAAATGTCAATATTTCAAAAATCAAATATGACAATGAAAAACGGATTGCGGCATTGAATTCAGCATAAAAAAGTAGTTCAAAATGATGGGTCACAACACCACCTTCATATTTAAAATAATTTATCACATTTCAAAATGGCGGATCCAAGATGGCGGCAGAAAAAAATACATCCGTCATAACCGAGTGAAAATAGGTCAACAATGAATGGTGGTGTCCACTTATCTTTATCTAGCACTATTTTGAGATTATGGCCTTAGTTTGTAAATGCACAATGTTATAATGGACTAAAATAAAGTTATAAAAAGTTTTCATAACTTTAGAATGGATCAACATTTTTTAAAGCGGATTGCAGCATCGTATTCAGCGTAAAAGTCTTGTTTGAAACGGTGGGTCACGACCCTACCTTTACATTTGAAAAAATAACATTGTATCCAAGATGGCGGCTAAACATTTAAACCCATTCAAAATTAAGTACTTGCTACTCTACAATGATCTTACGTGGTTCGGAGTTGATATCTTAAGAAATGTATGAAAAAGTAGGGGGTGGGGAACTCATTTAAAACTCACCCTGTATAAAACAGTTCACAATTATTTTCCTCATAATTTTTTTACTTTTGAACAGCCGCCATTTTGAAATGACTTGATGAAACTTTACCATTTTCAACCCAGGCCGAGATAATGTATTCAAGCACTTGCGCGCCAAATTTAATGAAAATCGGTTCAGGCATTCGGTCGTTATAGCCAATTCATGGGGACCCAACATCCTCTTACGGCCGCCATTTTGATGACGTCATTACGGACGACCGAGGTCCTTAAAAATTGGGGTCTGGGCGGTTTTAGGTTCAGAAACTTGTATACTGTAACCACCTAAAATTGCAGCCTCTCCGCCAGAACTGAAATATTCTGCCACTATATGCAGCTATACGCACTAATGCAAACTCCAAGGATTTAATCATTCATATTTTTATGAACCTAAAAATAAAAATAGGTAATTCTAAAATAAGTTTTTAGGTGGACACAAAAATAGCATTAAGTAGTAAAACTAATATCAGATTTGTAATGACATTTTCAAACCCTACTTGTGTACTGTCCGATATCAACAACTTCCACTGCTGAGCTGACTACCATTAATTGGTTCGATCAGTGGTTTACTACTACTGTAATACTACTTTATGTTTAATATATCAGCCTTTGAGTCTTAAAGGGTTAAGTATCGTACCCCCTATCATTTACAACTAGTATTAGAATTGGGTATACAGTTACTTTTCACCACCCGTATGGCATTTTGATTTATATCAGTCAACACTATACTATAGAAGAATTTTCCAACATTTATAAAGGGATATTTTACTATTGAGTTGAGTAAACTGTTGTTATACAGATATGCAGATGTTGATCAACTTTGCTTGACAAGGTCTTTAGAAACAAATATGAACACTTTTTCATTTACATTTTTCACTTTTCTTACCTAAAACAGAAGATTGTTGCTCAGTCATTCTGCATTAGTACATTTTCAATTACAAAGAATTATTTTATCAAATAAGATTCTATGAAAACTGTTTTAAAACTCACTTACAGGCAAAAACAAAAAGTAAAAAAACATTGGTTAAGATATTATTCAATTCCTCATGAAATTTACAGTGAGGTTGGTGTGTCACCTTATAGGCACTAAAATATCATGCATCTTCATCTTAGTTGTATATTATACAATAAAATAAATGTTTTGTAACACGCCCTGTTGGTAAGCTATTTTTTACTGATCAACAACAATGATTTACTATGTTTCTATTCGAGCAGGTACGTTGGGCTGGGTACATGTTACATGTTTAGAAGAGTGGTTGACAGGGTCAGTCCGAGATTCTTGTGAACTTTGTTCCTTCCCCTTCACTGTTGTAAGGATACCCAAATACGGATATTTTGAATCCCTCAGAATATTCCTTACTACTCGGATCAGTATACTGCGACTCCTACGAGACTTGTTCTTCCTGGCAGTGTCACTGATTAACACCTGCATTCTCATGTATATGTGGCTTGCTTATATACTCAACGATTTAGTTGTTATAATGGAAGGAAATACTGATGATCGTGAGTATATATATCTCCTACCACTCATTTGTTATTTAATCACCTTCACTAAGACTGTATGTGTTTTGAGATGAATGGGACTGCAGGGTGAGTGTAGAATGGAAGGAGATGATCTATGTAGCTTCATTGCAGGCTAAGATCAGCTGTTTCTTAAGCCAGAGTTCAATTTCTGTATTTTAAGACTTGGTAAAGGATAGCTCTATGGATTCACCTGTCGACATTCTAACTTTTAGGTAGGTACAACCATATACAAATAGAATAAATAGACTGTCAAAGGAAGGTTCCGTGATGTGCCGCTCGGTGTTCGATTCGCTGCCGTCGTTGGTTCCTTGCCGTATGCTACCAGCAGACGCTGCAGCGGTGTGCGCCGTAACTACACGGCAATCCTAGCGGTGGACGCCAGATTTTGTGCGAACCGCAGCATAGCTGACCGTCTATATTCATTCTATTTGTCTATGGTATAACCAACAACCATCTACCTACCATATTGCTACCATCTTATAGTCTCATTTATATTGCAAACCGGATGGTGCTATT